TGGTTGAACCAACTATGGTATCCAAGATTTTGCAGAGAGGGATTTTCAACATTGATTTGTCGTTCTCTCTAAATGGGGAGATTTTATCAAGATTACTAGATATTTAACTTATTACACATTTTAGAGATTGAATAACAAGAAAACTGTGATTAACCCCGTGACTAACCCTCTAAATAAGTGGATAATTATGTGCTCATCATTTAAAAAATATTATTACTAATAAAATATATTAGCTTCTAGTATTTTTGAAGAAAAGGGTGCAAATAGGATGAATAAAGGTGTCAAAAAATAATGTGCTAAAGTTAAAAATCAACCCAATGCCCAAAAAGGCAAAAGAGGATGAAGAAACACTGAACAATCAATTAGAATAAGGTCCTAATCAATTAGAAATATTCAAATTTCAAATTTGGTACACTCGACACAATATAGTTCATTCGAAGGAAGAAATAATCAATTAGAGCACTGGAAAACAATGTAACAACTAGGTCCCAATGGCTAACTCCACAAATTCAATAACCTAATCGATTAGAAAATTTCTAATCAATTAGACAATGGCTATAAATAGGAATTCTCTCTCCTTCCTTTTTATCTCATTCTTTCTTCTCTTGTGTCCATACGTAGGAATTTTTAAAGCAAACTTTCTCATCCTCCTACCATTCCAAAATTTTCTTAGCCCAAAAACAAGAAACATACTTCAACCGCTACTATGCCAAATGATAAATTTTTTAGTCTCGCCACTTGGATGAGAAAACCTTCAAAGATTGCAACTTATCCAAGCTTTCACAAAGGGTTTAAAGAACTTTTTCTTTGAAGTACCCCCAAGAAATATTTCCTACCTTGGTGATAATGTTCTATGCCAACCTCAAATATATAGATGGAACTCTTAGCTCAAAAGTAAAGAAACATCCAATTTGGATAAGTCTTGAAGAATCCGTACATATTTGCAATCTTTCTTACAATGACCACGAGTATAATGATAATGAAGAAGGCAAATTTTTTTATTGTCATGACGATGTTATTTCTTTTCTAGATGATCAAACCTCTATCGTTCCTACTCCCTTCACCGTTGGAATAATACACCCAGATATTCAGTTAATTCATTATGTAGTTGTTTACTGTGAATTTTGGTAAACAACCGTTGGTCTATCAATTAATGTAAATTTGACTAACTTGCAGGATCGATCATACTAAATCCTAGAACATGTGCTAAGTATGCAAAAAGACCTTAAGTTGAACTCCACGTTCGACTATGAAATCTTTTGGAAAGTAAGATGACTTGAAGGTTAAAAGAAAGCAAGTAATGCGTCGAAGGTTAAAAGGAAAGAATGTAAAAATGCAGTAATGTAAAGGCTTCGAAAAGTAAATGACTTTGAAAATAAAGGCAATGATGTAAATATGCAAAAGACTATAATCTGAACTCCGCGTTCGACTATGGAATCTTTGAAATAAAGGGTTTTGAACGTAAATGACTTTTAATTTTAAAGGTGCGAAAGATGCTAATCTGAACTCCATGTTCGACTAGGGGATCTTTGAAAAGTAAATGACGTTGAAGATAAATGTGCAAGAAAGTAAGTTTCTTTTGAAAGTAAATGCGCAAAAGATAAATAGCTTTGAAAACAGATGTGCAAAGTATTCTAATCTGAACTCCACGTTCGAATAGGAGATCCTTGGAGGTAAAGGTGCAAAAGGTTAAATTGCATGGAATGTAAAGGAATTTTAAAGTTCGGAAAAGCTTGTAAAATAGTTTAAATGTAAAAGTTGAAGGTTAAAGGGAAAAAATGTAAATGGCAAGAAAGAGTAAATTGCATTAAGGAAAAGGGGTTGGTGTTGTATCACGTACATTCTCGCTAACTCGTTTCTCTACACGCGGGTATTTTGAGTTGTATGGAGTGACTAGTACAGAAATGAATGAACACCCCTTATTACATAAAAATAACACCTATTTATAGTGCTAGAAAGTAACTACTTAAATAAAGGTTGAGGCTTCACAACGTGTCTTTTTGGCGCTTTCCTCAGTCTTCAACTTCTCCCACGTTCGCCCACTATCATTTTGAATTTAGACATTAAGAATTCCCTCCAATTTTTATGGTAACTGCCTTGCGCTCCCTTCAGCATGATCTTAGTCGAGAATGTTTCCAACACTTAGTATTTTTTAGAAACTTTGTCCACCTTCCTTTGACTCGGATTTCTTCATAGTCGTGTCGAAACCTTCACATGTGCTAAAGTGACATTTTGACTTAAGATGATTCTGACTTTCACTAGCGTCGAAAATGAGAGCTAACAGTAGTGAATCGTGTTCTTTTCACAAGAAAAAACAACTCTAGCCACATAAATAAATTCATTAAGTAACAACGATATCCAAATTTCAAGTTCATATATTCATATTTCCCAATGCATGGTGTTTTATTTTCATAAGTGAACCAAAAAGGAACATAAAAAGGTGGAGAAGAGCATGGCCAATATCTGAGCAAGACAAGTTTTCCATATTTAACTATCTGATCTGGTCGTACTTGCTTCCTCAAAATATGAAAAGGAAAGTAAATATTCTCTACTTGCAAATAAGAATTCTCAAAAGAGTCAGAAACAGCTATGAGACTGATGTCAGTTGCTTCATCTAGTTTTGTACCAAAGAGAAATTCTAAAGGCACAAATTCTTAAGATCCTCTTAAGTGATTGAGAAAGATGCCTTCATAGCAAATATTGAAGCCTGAGCAGACGACAGAGCTTTATCTTTCTTAGCCACTTCCCTCGCTAGTATCTTTACCTGGTCAACTAGCGAGCCAGGGAGATCGAAAGTTCTCAAGGAGTATCCTATCCTGGTAGATAAACTAAAGCCTTTTGTATTTATTGCAGGCACGCATCATGCTGAAGCGTTAGATCATAGACACTGTCCAATAACAATTGTCTCTCCTTACAATACCGATAAGCTAAAAGAACGTCCCTACGACCAACTCCACCAATAGCCAGAATGAAAGACACTTATCAAGTGTAATACGTTAGAGTCGACAGTTCCTCTTCAAGAGCCTCGTCATTCACGTGGTCAAGGTAGGAGCAATATTCTTTCGAGGTAGATGCCTAATGTTATTTAGAGTACAAAGTCCCAACCAACCCAAAAAGAGAGGTTTTGGAAAACTCGAAGTGTGCAACACCCTTTGCCTATCTCCAAGAATCTTAACTTTAGGATCAGGTACTAGAGCAGTCACTCCTCGAGCATGCGGACAATCTAGATGAAGGGACCAAGGTACTCTTGTTATCACTCTGATCAAATATGGGATGATGGTCAATGTTGGAACATTTGAAGGAACGACAATTCATGGGATGACTCAAACTCCCCCTTCATTCGATGAATTATTTTCTCACACTTCATTGAATCTACAACCGTCAAGAACATTGTAGGTAAAAATAACTGGCATTGATGATAATAAACTTTGGGAGCTTATTAAATATGGCATTCCTTTCCTCCTTGCTATTGACATCAATCAATAGGCAAGTTTCCATGAGTTGTTTCAAGCGTTTTTTTAATGCTTCATCCCGAGGGGTAATGCCACCAATATAACCTAACATTATGAAGAATGTAACTAACCACTTTTTTTAGGTAAATTCCCTCTTGAGACATGTCACTCTCCTTGTAGATATACAATCCATTACCTATTAAAAAGTGGCATTGGTTCCAAAATTTCCGAAATAAAATCGTACACCGGTTTTGTGTTTCACTAAAGCTAGGCTACGATCGACAGAAATAGACAAACATAACAAAGCCCTCACCATATAGAGTAGAGGCAAGGGCTTGTGGGCAACTGTTATGGGCCGACCAAAAGACCCAATAAATGCATTTCAAAGAGTACACTAATCCACTGTGTCACTAACATAGTAGGTATGCTATCTTGGTCTAGAGTGTAGGTGATCTAAATCCAAGATCCATCATGAAATTCAATTCGATGGATGTCAAGATGTCATACACAATATCATAACAATGTGTATGACAAGAGTAGTATGTAAAATAATAACAATAAGTAAAGTTACACATGAATTGGTAACTCAGTTCAATGCAAAACTGCCTATAACTTGAAGGTGTTAACCCAATAAAGGAAGTCCACTCTTAATAGTCAAAAGTACAAACTGGTTTGATTTGAACTCTCCTAGTTCAATGCCGCTTTTTCTAATACTAACCGTGAAATTTTATTTAAGACTCCCCTATAATATGAGATCCCTCTCACTTTTACTCAAACACTCTCACAAATGTATAGATAGTTACAATAAATTTAGAATGATAGAACAAATTACAACTCAAAATACTCTATTTGTTAACATATGAATAAGAATCAAGAATAGAGTATTATAAAACACAAACAAATAGACTCAAATAAATAAACAAGCTTGACTTGATTGTGCAATGTCTGAGTCATTATAATGAATAACTCCACCTTAAATAACAACAAAGTCTAGCTGAAAAGCTCATTAGAATTTTCATCTTTGAACGCGGTTGAACAATCCCATAAACGCAAGTAACCAAATCTTCATTATATTGATTTACAATTATTAGTTTATTTAAATTTTAATCATATCAAATTTATCTATTTTAATTCTGGTGTCAGCATCTTTTAGATAAACTTTTATATTTTAAAAAGCGTATAAAAAGTAAACATGATTAGATAAATATAAAAATAAATTTTCAATTGGCAAATGATAATAGTTGCAATCAACAATCTATGATCACCGATGCATATTTACTCCCTTGCAAGACAATATCTATATTCAACATATTATAAATTAAAATAATTATTCTTCTTTAAAGCTCTAATTAGGAATATAAAAGAAAAATACTAATGAGCATTTGTGTTAATGCAAGTTTTAAGAATAAAAACTTAACAATTTTTCCATACTTGGACTGCAACATTTTTGAAACCCACATCGTCCTCCTTTTAGGTCTGGAAGAAGCCATAACACCACACTCCAAAAAACGTACAACCCACTGTGAACATTCGAAGGAAACAACAAAAATGGAAGATGTGATAACAGAAGCAGCACCACCGTCAAGACTACTAGAAGAAGACCTAAATAATTTCACACCACCATCTAAACCTCTTCCTTCACCCTTTCTCCTCTTCCCCCACACTCAACAACAACAACAACCCCTCAAACCAAACCTCCTCATCATCGCTATCTCTTCCCCTTCTCTCTCCCTCTTCCAAACCATCCTCAACTCCCAAACCCTAACCGCCTCGCTCATCCTCCCTGAATTCCCTCTCTCTCATCCCGACAACACCATAGACATCCACTCCATCTCATCTAACATTCTCCTCGCCACCGTTCGTACTTCGATCCCCGATAACCGCGCTTACGCCGTTGCTGACGTTCTACTCAACGACCGGATCCGTCCTGATTCGGCTGTTATACTCGATTCTATCCAGACGATGAATCACCGCGGGTTACTTTCGTCTGACGAAGCTGTTGGATTCAAGCTGGAGAGCTCTGCGGAAAGAAAGAAGGCTGTTGGGGAGAAATTGTTGGGCGAATTGGAGTATTACCCGTCTGGTAGCGTTGTCGATGGGCTTGGTGCCGCGATTCTTGGAAGGTGCCAGATTCTGAACCTTAGGGCTAGCTTGTGTGTTTCTTGGCCTCAGTTTGATCCTTCTGTTGTGTTGTTGTTGAAGGATTTGGTTCGGCCTTTGGCGGAATTTGATTTTGGTTTTAATGGTAATGAGGAAGCTTTGAAATATGGGAGGAATAGGGATCATGTTTTTCAATCTCATCCGTATATTTGATTTAGGTATAATGTGTCTCTCCAAAATGTATTTCTGAATGATTTGAATGTTTTGATAGATGAGATTTTATTTGGTATTATGATAGATATGATTAAGATGTTTGTCTTGCTAGGTGAATTGCTTACCATCTTTATATTTAGCCGATCTTTTCACTCTTTTGAATTGAATGTTATCTCGGTTTTGTGGAGCTGATCTCTATGTTCTTTTGAATTGAATGTTCTCTAGATTTTGAGTGCCGATTTTATGCTCTTTTGAGTTGAATGTTCTCTCAGTTTTGTGAAACCAAATTTTATCCTCTTTTTAATTGAATGTTCTCTTGGTTTTGTGTAGCGGATCTTTATCCTCTTTCAAATTGAATGTTCTCTTGGTTTTGTGTAGTCGATCTTTTTATGCTCTTTCGAATTGAATGTTCTCTTGGTTTTGTGTAGCCGAACTTTATGCTCTTTTGGATTGAATGTTTTCTTAGTTTTGTGTATCCGATCTTTATGCTCTTTTGAATCGAATGTTCTCTCGGTTGTGTAGCCAATCTTTATGCTCCTTTGAATCAAATGTTCTCTTAGTTTTTGTGTTGTGGGCTTGAAGTTACTAGTTTCCTTCATTTTATGATGTGGTCTTGAAGCTACTAGTTTTCTTCATTGATAATGAAGAAGGATTGAATTTGTGAACTGAATTGTGTGATATGCTAGTGAAATTGTGATTCTTTTAAATGTACTGCATCAAGTGTTGTTTGGTTGGTCAAATTGATCAAAGTGTAACTATGGCATGCGACCAGTCACCTCTGTGCAATTGTGAAGGCAGAGTAGAATCCTTACCATAATAAATTTAACAGTGCAATTATGTAGGCAGTGTAGAGTCCTTACCATAGTATGTTTTGACTCGTCATAGTGTTTACTGTGTTTTTTGGTAAACAACCTCTGGTCTATCAATTTGGTGTCAAATTGACTAACTTGCAGGATCGACCATACGAAATCCTAGGATATGTGCTGAAGGGTGTTTTTATTTGAACCTATCTAGAAATGTGTTTAAACAATACTAAGAAGAAATAACTTAAAAGGGGGGCAGAAATTATCCACTATGTTTAAAGGAAAGGAAGAAGAAGAATTATTAGAGGGAAAAGAGATAAAGGTTTTTTTTTGGAGGGAAAGATCTAATCGAAGTGGTAATGATGATCAAAAGGGAAAGACAAAACAAATAAATAAAAGTACTTGACGAAAGTAAAGAAAACAAAGTAACTTCATTGAAAAGATAAAGGATGGTGTGTTTATATCACGTACATTCTCTATAATACTCTCTTTCTCTACGCTCGGATACTTGGAGTAATTTTAAGAGTGACTTGTACAACAGTAAATTACAACACACTAAGTTTTATGTCTAAGACTCTTATTTATAATAATAATAGTAACTGCTAATAACCGCTAATAACCTCCTTGGGCCATCTATTCTTGACAAGTGTCAGACCGCATGCAGTCCTTTATCCGATGAGAGCCACTTGTCCTTCTTAGTCATAAGAAAATATAACTATTCCCTCCAAGATTCGAATTTCAAAAACTCACTCCGTCGCTTCTTCAAAATCTCGGTCGAAGACCACTTCGCTTGCTTTGGTCGAAGTGTTTAGTTTCAAGACTTCAATTTTCCTAAGTCCTTGGAAGACTTGTAGGTCTTTTTAATATGCTGAAAATAGCCTCCAACATGAGTCGTCGAATTGGTGAGCTAACAAATTGCCCCCCAAAAATGTAGTTTTCGATACTACAAAAAGTACATTTTTTGACATCCAAATTCGACGCCGTTTTCCTTCGACTATATCCTGATAGTTGACCCACCTTCAACTACTTCGAGTTTAGGAAACTGAAAGGTGATGGGAGAGGATATATCCACAATCTTACGCAAAAGGGAACTGTTACACCACCTTGATGCACGATCTCTGACGTCATGAACATCATGGCAAATTTCTCGGGAAGCACCGAAATCGTGAGCCATCATTACCCCTATAGAGCATAGGTTACAGCCGCCACCTCTACTAACTCATCCTGAGCACACACGTGGCCCACTAACCCAGCCATTTGTAAAAAACTCTTGAATTTCCTCTTTTCACTTATAAATAATTTTCAGAACGTCTTTTACTTTTACTTCTTCAAACTTTTTTACAACATTGTCTCACATTTTCTTCTCACAGTTTTTTCTTCCAAGAACACTCCTCCAACACTCATCATGGGTGAGCTAAGATCCCAGAAACAGAAAACCCAGTCTCATCAACAAACCTCTTCTTCCACCCTTCCCCCTTTTGCTGCTCTGAGTGGACCGAAGGTGGTAAAGAATCAGCAACTCGTGCGAGAGCCTCTACTGGAGGAGAAACTCCATATCTACGAATCCCAGGTAATCATACCCGTTACTGTTGCGGATAAACCGCTTGCCATGTCCGGGCCTCTATCCCTCTCAGGTTTAAACTATTCCACTTTGAATGAGTTTTTTCCTTCTTATCGAAAAACCAAACCCCTAGGGCAAAAAGACTCCCAAAAGGTTCCCTTGGATAATCCAGATAGCTTGGATGTTTATAATGTGGATCTCAAGTATCTCCACGATGGCGCAAGATTGTTGAGGGCTACGCCATATTTCAAGGATTCTGAACTCTACCTCAACTGGTTGAAGAAGGTAGAAAAAGCAAAAACTCAAGACTGGAAAGACATGGGCATCTATGACCTTATTATGATGTCGAAAGCAGGTCCCAACTACTTCCCTCTGATGTTGGCTGTGTCTTTGTTCTTTTGGGACAACACACATTACACTTTTAATCTTCCATGTGGGATGATGACGCCTACTTTGTTCGATATTGCTGCTATTGTAGGACTGAAACCTCATGGACTGACTTACGACCCTGAAGTTGATAGCCAAGACACTATCGGTTTCTCAACCATCAAACATACTTATACCCATTTCATCAACCATTATCATGACAAAAATAATGCCGCGGTTAAAGACGAGGAACATATAGCCTTTTTGGCCATGTGGTTGTCTCGTTGCATTTTCTGTACTAAATCCTTGCAGGTGGCACGAAAATACTTAACACTGGCGAACCAGCTACATGCCAAGAGAGACATATGTTTGAGCGAAATGATCCTTGCAAGTATATACGAAGTCTTAAGCGAAAGTGCCGGCAAATTGAAGGACCCTGAGAATAACGGCAATTTGGTAATGTCGGGGCCGTTTTGGTTACTTCAATTGTGGTTAAGCGCCACTTTTGAAGGCAACCTACCAAATAAAGGTGAAGTTGATGAAGGTTCTCCTTCGATCTCTGGAAGACAGGTCGAATGGCCCCGCTTAGTTCAGCTTACCTCCAGCGAAGAAGGGCTAACACTTCGAGCCAACTTCTCAGGCTTCGTCCAGATGTTTGCGAAGCGCCATGTCTTCACACCTGGGATGGCTCCCTTCGCAGAACGGAAACGTGGCCCTGAATGGTTCATCAGGCCTTTCCCAGCTTTGCTCAAGAAACAAGAAGAGGAATCGAAGCTGATTTGGGAGCGATTCCTTACGCCTCGAATATTTGTCCACAAACTCAATCTGACAAGAGGGCAAGCTTCCCTGATAGCTTATCAACCAAATCTTGTGTCGAGACAATTTGGACTTATCCAAACCCTACCTAGGTGTTTATACGAGAAAAAATCCCACATTCTGCTTTCACACCACATCGTTAACCCCATCGAATGTTCGACCCAATTGGCGCGTCATGCCCATAAGTCCTTACTTACCCCACTTTATTTTGAACCTTCTTATTTCTGTTCCCCAGAATTTTATAACTAGTGGTCCAGACATTATTCTTCTGAATTTCTTGATGCTGCCAGTCTTAGTCGAATGATTGATTAAGCTTTCGTTGATGTGCAGGAAAAAACCAAGAAAGGTAGGTCCACTCACATAAAGGAGATACAAGCCTTCCAAAAATACTTTGAAACTGCTTATCGACCGGATGATATTAGTCGAACCGTCCGCGAGGCTGCTGTCACTTTGAGGGAAAAATTTCTAAAAAAGATGGAGAATTTAAAAATTCCTTCTTCCATCCCCCGTGAGAAACGGTATGAGATGGCTTTCAAATTATTTCCCCCTAAGGTTCTTCGATTTCCATCTGCTGATTTTGGAGTGGCCCTTGCCCCTCCATTCCCAGATTGGTTCATCTGTGAGGATCCTATAAAATTCCTCAGACAGCAGTCGAAGCCTAAAGCACAGCGGGTGGTTCCGACTAAGCATATCGTCGATACTTTCAAAGGGCACCTTCATATTAATATCGAAGATGTTCGCCTCGAATCCGACATTCTCGAAGGTCGATTCCCCTTCGTTTTAAACCTTTTAAACAACGCTTTATCATTACTAACGGGTGGCGCTGTCATTTGTCTTTTGCAGCTGCTCCAAAAAAGACCGCCATCTCGGTGGGGACTGATAGTTCCGTCGAGGGTCAGAAGGTAATATTAATGCACCATCTTAATCTTTTCAACATTCCGGGTTTAGAAAGCCTAACACTTTCCCAATGCTTTTTCAGGTAATCCGGAAACCCCCTACCCCTCAGAGAAAAATAAAGAGAGGCGCCAACCTAGTTATCATCGACTCAAAAGACGAAGATGGTTCTCCTCGAGAGGAGGTTCCAATGGAAAGGCGGCGAAAGGTTGTCCGCAGTCTCGACACCACTGACTCAGATCCTCCATCGACTCAAATCCCTGAGTCACAAGCTCAACGTGTAGACCTTGGTAAGGCTTCTGTCGGAGGTACCCCAATTCCTCAAACTGCTGCTGTTGAAAGCGATAATTCCAGTCCGGCTGATGAAGGCCCGAAGGTCCAACTCTTATCTTCGACTACTTTCTGCCTGAATTTCAAACTACTTTTGGACTCTTTTTTCTCATGTTTAGATTCTCTCTTTTTTAGCCTGACGTTGTGATAACAGAAAACATCCCGACTACATCTCTTCTCGAGGCCTATCCTTTGAACAGTCGAGGTGAGCCCACCTATCGTCCTTCTTC